AGGCTAGATATCAGGAGGCGCTACTTCACGGTCAGGGCGGCTAGGATCTGGAACCAACTTCCAAGAGAAGTGGTGCTGGCTTCTCCCCTGGGGGTCTTTAAGAGGAGGCTAGATGAACACCTTGCTGGGGTCATTTGACCCCAGTACTCTTTCCTGCCATGGCAGGGGGTCGGACTAGATGATCTGCTCAGGTCCCTTCCGACCCTAGAAACTATGAAACTATCTAAGGAAGAAATTCTGTGGTAGGGCAAAAAATTAATCTTCTCTCGGTTGCCTGCTGAATGAGCAGACAGGAAGTCAGCTGGGTAAATGCTTTATTCTGGCAGAAGTTTCACTGATATCGTTCTGAAACTGAAATATTTTAGTTTCCACAAATCAGTGTTTTCTGGTGAATACCTGTTTTGTTTGGAAATTGTCGACCAGACCCAAGACATGTATCACAATATGCTGTACGTTTACAGGAATCAACATGACAAATTCCAAAGGATAAGAAATGACGGCAACATGACAGTATCTTCAATTCCTTTGTTCAGCTGCATATGCCTGTGTGATGCTGATAGCAATTTACTACCAAGAAAAAAATGTCAGAAATAACAGGAAAATGTAAACAGGTTCACATTTTTGCAACTCAGGATGACAGGGCAGTATTTAAATAGCATGAATTGTACCTTATTTCATATTGAAATAATTATTGGCTTGATTTCCTATTTTCAATTAAAGTAGATACATACAGAGATATTAGCAAAAATATTAAATTTTATTGCAGAGTTTGGAAAGTGCAAGGTCTTATAAATGAAGTCCTACTAATAAGTATTTAAAGACCTGTTTTTTCAGGTTTTACCCAAGTAAAATCCCATTGATATAGCAGGATCAGACCAACATACATTGTTATGGGGAGTGGGGAGGATGTCATCATACTTAATGCACCTGAAATTACTGGATAAATAGTGATATAGGCCCTTTTCAGGACAGTACTTAAACACATGCTTAACTTTAATCATGTGCTTAAATGTGGCCCCAAATAGAGATATATTCATGTTTTGGGGCTGGAATGCCTAGATTAATGCCTGAGATAAATATCTATAGGTTATTGTTAAAAAATTATTTGTAATTTAAGATATTGCCTCCTGCAGAAAAAAATCATGGATCTCTGAGGATCTGTTTGTGGAGTCTGCCCCTGACCCACTTTATGCTGCTGTGGAAGACTGAATTTAGTATTACTCCCAGGAAAATCTGTCTCAAACCTATACATTCTCCTGAGTTTGCAGACCCTGAGACGTGTATATTTGGAACTGCATTATTATTTAGAAGAACACTGCTGTTAAAAACATTAAGCCTGTATTTGAAATGGTCATTAAGAAATGTATCCTAAAAAATTAAGTTTCTGTTATTTATTTTACAAAAATACTAAAGCTAGAGTTCTTAAATATGAGTGCTCACAATTAGGCTCATGCATCCATATTTAAAATACCTGAATAAGTGACCTGGATTTTCAGAAGTTTTGAGCATCCACTGAATTCAATGCAAGTTGCAAATTGCACCGTCATACCTAAAAGCAGATTTTAGTTCTGGATGTTTATGGTTATGGTAAACATAACCTTTGTCAACATTTGAACAAATAAAAATCTTCAGTTTTAAAAATCCTATCCAACTTTGCCACTATGTAATTCACTATCCTCAGCGAATCACAATTCATATAATAAAATGCCAACTTCTTTTTTTCCTTTTTACAATCTTTCCTTTTTATTATGACTTCTCACATCATTCTGAGATCTCATGACAGCAATAAAGGCCTCTTAAAAATATATTGTCGCGTCTATCATGTGGTCGTGTCTATAAATCCCTAGACTTTATGGCAGAAATTCAGCAGTAAGGTGAAGCACTGATCTCACTGCAGAATCGCCTATTATCAGAACCACCAAATTGTGAGGAAGACAAGATCTCACAAGCAAAAGACCATGGCAACTCTGAACTGGGGTTATGAGGGCAGAAATGGTAAGGATAAGTTTCCTTAACAGCAAATTTATTATACTGGCAGAGGTTTTCTTTTCTTTTACATAAAAGGAGATATGAGGGATTTGTCTAGCCGTGCAAAATTCTGTATGTGACAATTTAAAATGATTTAATTTATTACTTATCCCTGCCATACCCAGGGATGACGTCATAATTCAGTATTAACACTCAGGAACTAAAGTGGCTGTTAAAAATTAAATATATGTATTTATGTTTGTCTAGGACCTGACCAATGGCACAAATTATACCCTATTGCCAGCGGAGATCATCAGTCTCCTATTGATATCAAAACCAAAGAAGTAAAAAAAGACCCATCTCTAGGTCGTCTCCAGATCACTTGGAATTCAGGCACATGTAAAGAAATCATCAATGTTGGACACTCCTTCCATGTGAATTTTGAAGACAAGGATAATCAATCAGGTTAATGATGTTTTGTTTTTTTATTAATTCCCATTGAAAACAAAGGTAAATGGATCAGAGGTGTATCTGGATAGTTCCATGCCCTGGGCAGCAGAGGCATAACAGGATACGCTGCTGGTGCAGGGTTAATGTGGAAGCTGATGCCAAAGCTGACATTCTGCAGCAAAAAAGGAGACAGAAGGGTTAACTTACCCTCAGCACCAGTGGCTTGTCCTGGGAGTGAACTTCTGGCTGTCACCCAGTAGTGAAATGGATTTTCAGAAGCATAAATATCCATTCAAGTGTGTCATTAATTTTGAATGCGGTACTGTCACTTTATTCATCCTGGAGGATCTCAAATATTTCAATTTAAAATTATGATGCATTGCCAAGTGTTCCATTTTTAAAGGCAGGCAAGGTTCTTTGGGTAGATGTGATATCTTTTATTAGACCAAGTGAGTAGTTGGAAACAAGTTCTTTGCAAGCTTTCGGGGCAATAACCCACCCTCTCCTTGGAGTCTCAGAACAGCAAAGACTCCCTATGCCTGACAAAGGGTGATTGCACCCGAAAGCTTGCTAAGAACTTTTTTCCAACTACTCACTTGGTCTAATAAAAGATATCACATCTACCCAAAGAACCTTGGCAGCACGTGGCCAGGCCTGCGGTGGCAATGGGGCCGAGAGTGTTATAGTGGTGCTGCAGCCACGGTGGTCCAGGAATTGTGAGAGAGGCAGGGATTTCTTAGGGTGGTATATTTTTATTGGGCCAACTGCATAGTTAGGATAGAGTTAGACAAACTTTTGAATGCAAGAAGAATGTCTTGTGTTTGAAAGCTTATTTAACTGTATTCCAATGCTGCAGTGTGCCCAATAAAAGATATCACCCTAAAAAGTCCTTACTTCTCCCATTTTTACAAGAAAATACAAGCTTTCCCATATAGCCTGGGAGTTTTCAGGTGGTAAAATATTGATGATTGCTGCTGTTTGCTGGTCAATTTCCTATAAGTTATTATCTACCATTATATAAATTAAGGATTTTATGTTGCTTTGAAAGGAAGACACCATTTGCTGGTTTTGAGTTAAAATACTCTGCCTTGCTTGAATCATCAGGCACATGATTCTTAACAACATGTGTATGCATATGCAAATCCATATCAGCCAGACTTAGTATTATACCTTTGCATATTAGTAATTAGAGCATCACTTTTGGTGACCTACATCATCAGTTACATTGACATTTTGACTCACCTGCAAAATCTTACCAGAATAAAAGCAAGACTCAGAGAATATTTTCAACACACAATTGCCTTTTCTTGCACAGAAAGGCGATTTCAAGATCAACTCTTATCTTGTTTCACACATCCTCCAGTGATGAAATACCTCTCCCCTAAGAAGGAATGGACTCAATGATCTAATAAGACTTTTCCATCCTTTTCTACTTGGATCCTAGTTCTGTATTTAATAAACTGCTGCTACAAAGTATTCTTCTTTCCTTTTGTTTTCTCTTTTTCTCTCCAAATATAATCTCTGTTTACAATTATTTGATGTAATTTTTTTAGCTGAATCTGGGCAGAATACTGATTTATTGTAATTAAATTCAGGAATACACATCAGGAATTTTTCATTTCTAAGGTTTTAACAATACAAAATTCTTTATGATGAAAATTGTGGGTTGAAATTAACTATAAATAGTTCCAATATAGCAGTGTTTAGCAGAGAAGTGTTTGCATGTTGCAATCACTTTACTGCATTTGGATTTGATTATAACAAGTTATTTTATTTGTTTGCAGTGGTGACTGGTGGACCCTTGACTGGAAGCTACAGGCTGCGTCAGTTTCACTTTCACTGGGGCCCAGTTGATGATCATGGTTCTGAGCACACAGTGGATGGAGCAAAATATGCATCAGAGGTAGAGTCAATGAAAGAAAAGTCAAGGTCACATTTTCAAAGACCGAGTAATCAATTTCACCCACAGAACAAACCACAATGCATATGTGCATGCCAAATTCTATGTAAAGTCTGCATCTTTATTTATTTCTCATGTAAATGCATCCATTTGTGCAAGAAATAATCTGTGCCTTTTGTGCATATTTTGCAATGTAAGTTAGGACTTGAGACCAATCTCTACAATTTGGGTGCCTAAATTTAGACCATATAAATCTATACTTAAGCGCCTAAAAACAGTTGATTGTTGAAAACACACAAGTATAGACTTTTAGTCTTGTGAGTAGTCCCACAATGTCAATGAGGCTACCTACATGAGCAAAGTTAGTCATACACATAGCTGTTTACAGAATCAACCCCTAATCTGGCAGGTTATTAGAGGGCCTGATCACCCACAGCTCCACTAAAATTGGGACCTGTATATTGTGCTTTTCCTCTTCTAGGAGAGAGAAAAGAAAATCAGAAGAAAATAGGGAAAGCAAGGGTTTATAAAAAGATGCAGTTAATAGGGCTTTTAAGTACTGTCAGATATATTATCTTCAGTTAACAGAATTAATAAAGAAATAAAGGTTGCTCTTAAGCTGACTGCTTGCAGTTGCTTTCCAGTGTCTTATGAACATGACAAAAACAAATCAATGTAACTATCTTTAGCTACTACTTAGATTTTAGAAACATTATTGCATGTGAATCTAATGATACAATCTGGTGTATCTGCAGTTTAGGCATTGCCTCACAAAATTAACAGAGTTTTCCTTTCCAATTTTGTTTGGAAATGCAAAATTTTCCACTGTTGCTGGTATACAGCTATCTCATTTTACGCAGACAAGATATGAAAGGGGGTGTCCCTTTAGAATTCCTGCCATAACTAGATAACACACTTGGATTGTGTTTGAGGGAAACACCAGTACAAATCTTTATTATAGATTGTTTTGGGTGTTTAAAATATTTTAAAACAATAAAGCCACTGTAGTTGGAAAGACTGCAGTTCAGCCATGGCAGGGAATATCCCATTTTTTCCTCCTTTAAACCAGAGTCTTTTAAACAGATTGTGTGCAGTATGATCATTTCCATGCTTTGTCCCTTATTGATCCGAAATGTTCATTTTTTAAAAGCTGTCATCTTTCGATTCAATACTCTATACCATTTATATGTGGTATATATACTACAACTTTATATTTAAATAGTGGCTAAGGAATTTCTAAATGTAATATACATCAGACATTTTCTAGGAACAACTTAATGACAATTATGAATTGTATGATATCCAAGGTGTACATACTCCCAAACACATCTCCATCAAGTCTAAGGAGTAAAACGGAAGATATAATAGGCTAATCCTTAGGTTGAACAAAAGATGCCATAAATCCCTTCTTTATTCAAAATGGTTAAAATTGAACAGTCACTGAAATGTCTGCTTCTGTTGCCCTACAAAATTCTGCTGCTGCAAAGAACTCAGACAAGGCAAAATGCTTTTAACAGTATGGATTCATATTGAAAAGATCTGGGTTTCTTATGTTTGTACACCTAACAATGCTAACCTTGCATGCTACCCCATGGCACCCTTGAAAGGATCTCAAAGCTGCTGAGAGCCCCACAGCACCCTGACTGAGAATCACTGGGTTAGATAAATACCCACTCTATTTGTAAGTTATAGTTTCTCCCAAATTTGCTTTCAGGAAAATTGTGCAGCTTTGCATCTTACAATATTAGCCAGCAGGCCTGTCATTGACAGTTCCTGGGCAAATCACATGCTAAAGTCGGTCAGGCACCAGAATGGTGGAGCAGTTTGAGAGTCAATTGCCAGTTGCAGGACTGGGGGCTAAGAATGTATCTATGGTCTGTGGGCTTTGGACAATATTTATCTGTAAGGAAAATTGAAAAAAATATACTTCTGTCAATTGCTTTTTAGCTTCATCTGGTTCACTGGAATTCAGCTAAATATTCAAGCATAGCTGAGGCTTCAGATAAGCCAGATGGTTTGGCAATTGTCACTGTTTTTCTGAAGGTGAGTTACATGGCATACAGAAGACACTTTTCCTCTCTTCCCCCTGCCCCTCCTTTAAAAAATTGCTTTATTTCCCATCTTATCAAAATACTAAGATCTGTTCAAAGAGGACTAGAGAAGTAGCACCTACTTGAACTGAGACACACTCCTTCTGACTCTCCCTGAACATGTCTGCCATCTAATCTTTGTCCATGTCACTGCATTTGTTTTTCCCCAAAAACCTATCCACACACAACCCTTAAACACATGCTTACTGGTATTATGTTTTGAACCCCTGGTTGGTTGTTAAAAATAGTTTAAAAAGTCATGTCATGGGCAAACATATTGTATCAGGCTGTGGTGGATCAAATACAAATTTATTTTGCTGAACACTTGGGAAGACTGCTTCTGATTTTATGTCTGAACCTTTGATCTGTTCCCCATCACCATTGTTTTACTGCAGCTATAACTACCTACCTACAGTTTTTGCAGAGACAGGTAGTTAGCCATGTTAGTCAGAGGTCAGGCAGAAGGCAGGGTAGAGGTTCACCTTATAAACTAGCTAAATCAGAGCTATATAAGCTTTTGTTGCTCATGAAACCTTATGCATTTCTGATTCAATTAGTCTATAAAGTGCACCTCTACCCTACCTCCTGCCTACAATTTTTGCCATAGGGTTATGTCAATATGTATTTCTATAAAAAGTTCTCTTCCAGTCAGTGGGATGGTATTGTGGAATTGATGCCTGTAACTAAACTTAAATTTAAGAAAATCACAGTAATCTAAAAAGGAAAAAAAAATACAAGAAGCTGAACAATAATTTTATAGAGAGAGTTTAAGGGAGAAAGTATGTTCTTTGCCTTAGGGACAAAAGGAGGCATCAGAAGACATTAGTTCTGCTCATATTTTTTTATATGACCTTGGGCAAATTACTTGTACTCAACTGTTGTTAGTTCATCCGCCTGTAGAAAGTGTGTAATAATAAGGTACAGATAGGCTAATATTAACAAATGCTGGGAACATTCACTCACATTTTACCTTAGTCATCTCTTCACTTGTTTTTCACACAGCTTTGTGTGATCAACTTCTGCTGTTATGAACTGTAGCAAACATAAATTTCAAAGTCACACTTACAAATATTACTGGAATACACACATGAAAAACTTGTGCACAGGAATTCATGTGAGAAGTGTAAAAATAATACCATGTGACAAAATCTGACCCTCACAAAAAAATTAACACAGCACAAATGCTGAGTAACCAATAATAATATAAGGATTCAGAATCAGTCCATATCACAGAAATACAGAGAAGGTACCTCAAAAAGTCATCTAGTTCGATCCCCAACTAGTTAAACTGAACGGGTAAAAACATGTTACTGTATGCCTTCAAAGAAAGAGTATGTTTGAGGAAACTCTGATTTTCCTGCAGAGTAAGAGAATATGCATGTCAGACAAATGATCAATTATAGCCAAACTCTTCCACTATTATTTGCATTAAGAAGAACTTTACTCTGCTAAGTAGCACCATTGATTTCAGTGTGACTATTTGCAGGGTAAATATTTCTTTCTCAAACTAAATTTTCTCTAAGTGAGGTTGTAGGGCTAAACCAAATAATATTTGTGAAGCATATTCAGATCCTTATCTGGGAGGTGCTATGTTAGGACAAAATAAATGTTAGACATTTATGATTTAACATTTTTATTGCTATTTTTATTTTTACAGGTTGGTCCCCCCAATGACAAACTACAGGAAATTGTAAAGGCTTTAGGTGCAGTAAAGACCAAGGTAAATATCATTATTGCATGGTCACAGTGGACCATGGTCACAGTGAGAGCTTGGGGTAGAATCTAGTAAGTCTTCTCTAGAAGCAGAGGGGTATTGCCCACTTTAGCAGTTCATTCAGGACCATATGATCTCCTAAATATAGGACTTGACACTTGCATCATGACCTTTTAAATGTTTTCAGAAAACTAATTTACAGTATCAGAGCTCAATCCTGCAATCTACCAAAGGCTTGCTACAAAATGATAAGAGCACTGAATCCAGACAAGACAGATGATGGTGGTGGGCAGAACACCTGATTGGGATACCTATCCTCTACCTTTCAGCTCTTCCACATATCCATCCATCTAAAGTTTAGGTCTAGCAGCCATCACCAGAATATCCAAGCACTGACTGGACTAAATTTTGCCTCAACTCTTTAGTTTAACTGAAGATATATACACTCTCCAAATGCTTAGTGAGCATTTGGAGAGCTCACCAAATGCTTAAGTAAATTTGGAATATGAATTTTTATATTATACACAGGACGTAAATCCTACAGGATTTGCAAAAGGCAGTGGGACTGATCTCGCAAGGAACGAAAATCCTTGAGCCTGAATTCACAAAGTATTTGAGAATATGTGCTGTTTTATTAACTTCAGTAGGGTTTCAAAGGCTTAAATTATATGCTTGTGTGCTTTGCTAGATGAAAACTATAGATTCAGAACCTGTATGATGAAGCCTATAAGAGAATACTAATATATTCAAATGAATCTTACTTTATTCTGACTTAGAAAAATAAATAAATTATGCAAGTAAGGCTGAACAAGTAAAATCTTATTATGGACATTTTATCTATCATTCTCATTAAATTAAATGGATCTTTCTAGGGCAAACAAGCTCCATTCACTAATTTTGACCCATCAACCCTACTTCCTAAATCCATGGACTACTGGACCTACAATGGCTCTCTGACTCATCCTCCTCTTTACGAGAGTGTTATCTGGATTATCTTTAAGGAACCTATTACCATCAGCTCAGAGCAGGTATAGTACTGTGAAGTAAACAAAAATATTTTTTCACACAGAAACTGAAAGACAGTATCATTTTATTATTTATGGTGTCCTTCTTATTTTCAGCATAAAACCATGAAAGATTGCCTATATCAAGCACTAAAATAGCATTTGATGGATCATTAAAACTTTAATTCAGCAAAGGCAAGATGAGACTACTAATGTCCTTAAGGTCACACACATTTTAGGTTCTGTGAAGCATCAGATATTTTAAAAAGTCCAGTGGAGAGAGTCTGAAATAACCAACCAATTGCCTTTCTCTGCCAGTCCACAAAACTGCAATTTTCTTATCTCAGTTCCCATAAAACTTTATGTCTTTCAAAACTGAAGTCACTCTTCCAGCCTTTATTTACTCAGGCAGGTGGACTTTGCAGCCTGCCCTAAGGTTACTGGATTCAGGCTATTTCAGATTGAAGTGGGAAATAAATGCCACTGTGAAGAGGTCCTCTGAGAGAAATGCTTGCCTTAATTCTCCTGATAAAAAAGGCATATGGAAAGATCTTGAATTGAAGGAGGTTATATTGAAATATAATAAGCCCCTGTGTAAATTGTTCTGTAAATCCTTTTGCAACAGTGAAATCCTTTATTATAGGATTTCTAATCTACCCTATAGAAGTTTATAACCAGGGGAAAACACTCCATTAATATTTATGTAATAGTTTAAGGATGTTATGTTGAAGGATGCTTATCACTCTCCATTTTATAGGGCTAGGGAAAATCTCATCCAAGTAAGGTATTTTCCACCCCTGTCCTGAAGTTTTGCATAGAACTCTTTTCTGCTTCTGAATTGGCATCTGTCATTCTAGAGGTGGCTGTATCTCAGTATGTACACCGGTTTGTAAAGCGCTCTTAGATTTTTTTAAATAAAAAGTATTGCATCTCTACAAGATAATTTACCATCAAGAACCTTTACATTTATTTAAGGGATTATAAACTGTCCATTAACGTGTCTAATCAACAGCATTTAGGAACAAACAAGCATTTTAAATAAGGTTTTTAAAAGCCAAATTAGGATTAAAATAGTTCTCTTGGAAGTTAAATTTTACAGCATACTTCTGTGTTTTAACTAAAAATTAGCCATGTTTTAAAAATAAGACATTAGAAGTGTGCTTGCTGCCTGAGGAGGAATGAATAAAAACTTACTTTTTTTCTAAATGTTTTGTTAGACTGTTTGCTGGACAGCAATTGTCTTGCTGGTCAACCAACAGCTGATCAAGATTATTGCAATTGCTAGGGACAAATGTGATAATATATAATAAATTACCATATCATCATAATATGCTCAGTAAACACATGTCCTGAGTCAACACTGCTTAATAACAATTTTATGCATACATTATTCTATTAAGTGTGAAACCAGCCTAGGAAATACCA